AAACATTTTTTTATTAGATTTTGAATTAAATAGGGAACTGAGAAACAATTTTTTTGATAATTTGGAATTTAACTTTTCTGTTAAAGAATTTTCTGATGAAGAAAATGTGATTTTTTATACTCTTCCATCAACACCACCACAAGTAAATAAATTGGGGTCCTACATCAAAAAGTCATTAGAACTGAGGACAGGGGACACTGGACTATTTACTGTTATTAAATGATTGTGTATAATTTTATATATATGTGAATTTCAGTTATATTGTCTACTTATTTTGTATTAGTCACAAACTTATTGTTTAAAGTTTGCATGACAGTAATTACAATACATGTATGTTTCATTACAATAAACGTTATTTTGATTGGCTAACAACAATCTCGCGAAATTCTGAAATTAACCTTCATTTCAAAATCAAAATGAAATGTAACATTCATGATGACACGAGCTTCCACAAAAAATTGCAAGGTAAAAAAAAGAAAAAAAACTTGATAGAAATCGTGTTTCATGATCCTAGCAAAATAAATGTAATTATAAGTATTGAATGCTTCTTTAAGTAATTCTATAGGGTTGTAAAAGCATTGACCGTGCGCACATTTTTAGAATGAAGCGCTTCCGTGCTTCATACAAAATGTACTTCGCTCAACGCTTTTACACCCCAATAAATTTACAAAAAGAAGCATTCAATTCTTAATATAAATATTTGAATTTGAATTTGATAAAGATTGACTAGTACAAGTGCGTATAATTCCTTCTTATTTTCATGCTATGGAGCGTTTATTCGTTAGATATTTCATTACTCATATCTATAAGTCTTAAGCATGACTGTTTTTTAATCATTCAATGCAAATCTTTAATTTTTTCTATCTAATTTTTCTTTGTCAAGTGTTCCTGGTCAGACAGTGCTGATGTCTTATGTCATAGTTGATGTATGGTTTTAACGTGTTAATTGTGCAATCTGTAATTATTTTTGCATTTAGCGTCGACATGATCAATATCCACCACTTTGGACGGCGCAAATGAATATTTAACATTGCTGAAAGTATCAGCTCTATAATATCATACTTACAGCTGTCAAAATCAAGAAAAATCTTTTTGATATATTGGTTATTTTCTATACAATTGAATCTTGCAGTTGGATAAATGTTAATGTGACAGCAACCCAGCAATGAGAACAAAACCATCTTCAGGTCAACATTCGGTCTTCATGAAAGGACAAGTGGCGTTTCCATATGCTATGCTTCAACTAGTTTCCGAGTGCATTTGTAAACTAATACAACACAACCAGACAACATAAAGAACCAGTCTGAGACATCTACAGCTTATTTCTAACTGTCCCGTCTACAAATAAATCAATAACTAACGAATGAATGAATCAAGAAAGAAAGAAACATTAATAACTCCAAGAGACTAGCATTTCATTGCGTGTGTGTATAATTGATTTTTTTTGCCAATGTATATTTCAGGTGCTGTGTATCATAATAAGATCCACCCCGATTTTAGACTGGGTTCGCGTTTCTCAGTCTTTAGTTTTTTTATGTATGTTCTTTTTGTTCCGTCTCAAACAATAACCACACAATGACACAAAATTGTCAAATTCTTACTGTAATCCAAGAAATAAAACGCTAAAAAGCGATTTCCGAATTATTTGGATAAAAATGAAATAGAAAATATTCAATACATCCAAAGAATATCGCTGTAATTATTTCTTCATATGGACAGTTACTAAAATGCTTTTCGGGATCATACTTTTTTGAAAGATAAAAACACAGAAATATTGATCTTTGAACAGGTAAATAAAAGTCAGAACAGTGAGCATGGTGAGTAGCACAATAAACACACAATAAACCGAATGCTTTGCAATTCAAACCCATCCGAAGAAATCTGAACATCAATAAGGGAAAATGTATGTAAAATAATGTAGAAATATTAAAGTTCATCTACAGTGTCGTCGTCACTGTTGACAACTATTTCGGCTTAACAAATAGTCTTCGTCAGTGTCAATAACTTTTACAATACTAATTGTTTGTGTAAAATAACTCAGTAATACAGGTAAGTTTTGGTCTATTGATTTAATCCCAAATCTTGAACCTCATCAAATAGAACAAAACTCAATACTCTCTATAAACGTGTCTGTGCACATATACATCCCAAATTGTCAAAATGTAGTAGTATGTAAGAATGTGTGTAAAAGAATAGAAGAGTCCCTCTATAAAACTGCTAGTATATCTTCTTGTTGCCGTTTTGGATGATGTACATTTAGTTTCTTTATCCAAAAGCGTTCCCGAACCTGTCGCTGGGCATCAATCTAGTGAATGTTCTGTGCAATCACTAGGATTTTCATGCGGTTAAAGTCACCAAGTTTGTGACCCGACTGTCTGAAATGCTGAATATAATTGGGAGGAGTGGCTTCTTAGAGATATCACTCCTATGGTCATTTAGGGGTTTGTGGAAAGGCTGCTTTGAATCATCAACATATATTTAGGCCACAAACCGAACATTCTAGGATGTAAATAACATTCATACTTTTAGAGGTCACATTGAAAAATATCCTATAGTTATTTCCGGTTGCCTTACTGTGAACTTTTTGCTGCCTACAGATGTCGGGTCACAAACTTGATATATATAATATGTTTATGTAGCCTAGGTGGTCGAGTGGTCTAGGGCTCTAGGTACGGTGCAGGCGGTGTTGCCACGATGTCACAGACGCAAGGGTTCGAATCCCGCTACGGGAAGAACAAAAATTTGCTAACGCAAATTTGAGGATCTAACATTGTTGGGCTAAATTTGAGACGAATTATATATATATATATATGGTGTTAGCCCTGTATAACCACGTGTTATCCGATGGAAAACGTCTGTCATAAAGTTGTCACATGTTTAGACGTGTATGTATATTATAGTCTTGTCCCTTTTTCCTCAACCATCTTTCAGAGTAGATACTTATTGTTTTCATAATAGGGGTAACTCGAGTTCCACAGTTCCCGTGGAGCGTGGAGATCACGTATAAGTACTTTTACTGTATTTTGCGCGATGATCCCTACCTTTGGAGCTTAAAGCCATATCATTGGAGTTCGGTGTCCTATCATTAGATCTGGGAGCAAAATCAATTGACACTGGAACAAGAAACAAAAACAGTGCTCATAGGAGTCTAAAACCCATTAACGTCGAACCTAGAACCCAACGATAAAATTAGAAAAGTTAACCATAGCCCAGATCCCGTCTTATCCCACATGCATGTACGAAGCCCGTTGCTTACAAGAAATCTACACAGTCAAGGTTCCATAAATTAAGTAAGACGGAAGCTATTACAAGTTAAAATAGTACTTCATTGAATACCACACAATGATTATTTATAGTGTTTGTATTATTTATTGATTCCAGATATGTATATCTGACTGGCAAGCTATCCCTCTTTCTTCATTCGCAGTTAACTACATGCTTCTGAGACTGAGTTCAGCAGGACATGCGTATCAGTCCAGGGGCGTGTTTTATTGGTCTCTTCTGTACATCTCCAGAATGTCTTCTGGTGAAGAGTCCAACAAATAAATCTGGACCTCTTCTGGAGAACGGCGTTTCTCAGACTGTTTATGACTAAATCCGTTGTTTGTGTACTGATTGATACATTAGTCTGAGAGAACAAGATTTATTTCAGTGTTACTTATAATTAGCTTTGAACAAACTGTCAGTAACTGCAAATACTTTCGGTGCTTTGTGTCTATTGCCTTAATGTTAGTTGTTTTTTTTTGTGTGTCTCGTACCGATCTTTTGAATTAATCTAATTGCAACAGTTTGTTCTTATGTTGTACTGTCACACCACTGTCCCATTTGAGGGAACGGTTGGGCGCCTACAAACATGTTTAACCCTGCCATATTCTTTATGTGCCTGTCCTACAGAACCTGTAGTTCAGTGGTTGTCTGTCGGAATATTTGATTTTTTTGTTAATATGTTTTGTTATATATAATTAGGCCGTTAGTTTTTTCGTTCGAATTGTTTCACATTTTTCATGTTGGGGCCTTTTAAAACGACCACATGGTATGGGGTTTTGTCATTGTCGAAGGCTGTACGGTTGCCAAACTTATGTGGATAGTAGCATCATTGGCAATCATACTTTATCTCCTTATATTTATATTACATACCATACATAAATTTTAAACTCGTGTTTTCCTGACGACATGCATGAAATATTTGTCACTGGACGTTAAAAATAAGCAACCAACAATTAATCATTTTAAACTTGTGTTAAATAAAGAGAACACCATTTATTTATTATTTTTGTGGGGGGTGGGGGGAGAGGACAAGAGGATTTTAAATTTGAATATGGTGGTCAGGTAAGAGTTGAAAAAATAGGCATAATTAGCGACAGATTTAAATGAATAATAAATCCGAGAAAAAAAATTCTCCTGCCCCCTCCCAACACACTCCCAAGAATATCAAATAGTCGTCTCCTTACAGATATTGTCCGTGTAGATCTTATATTTATCCAGCTTATCGTCCCTATATATACAGGGATGTCCTACTAAAGCTGCCATACCATATAAAACGTTTATCACACAGTTCAAATTCTATTATATCTGCTTTCATAAATTTATCAATGTCATTTAAACTAAGAGACGCCATGTTTGTTATGTGCCTCTGCCGTCTTAACTACCTATTTAAAAGGAAGAGGTAGAAAAGAGCCAGAAGATCTTCCCAATGCAAAATAAAAACAGAAATGGACCTCTTCTGGCTTACTACCGAAGAACAAAAAAAACACGCCCCAGAACAAATTTGTTCTTCTCCAATTCAGTAATCTGTAAATAAAGAAGTTCAGCACTTTTTTTTCAAAATTTGCACGGTTCTTGACTGGGAAATAAAGAGTTTTATTATAACATCGAGAAAAAATAAGTGTGATGGTACGATATGCTTCGTGAATGTTATATAATATGCACAACCATTCAATAGAATAGAATTGTATCTACTAATAAAGATACACCATTATTAACTAAGATCAAATATCACTTTTATGTTTGTATGCAACCTCGACATTGTGTATTTAAATTCTTTATAACTTAATAAGTTTGTAATATTTTAAATAGCAACACCGTACCACTGTACTATATATTGTCGGCGAATTTTAATCTTCTTTTGGTGAAACTACTGGTCAAAGGTAAGAAGTCATTTTTTTTTATAATAAATTATTATTCATAACTTTCAAATCTTAACATATTCATTCACCCTTTTTTTTTGGTACATTTATTGCTACCCATACACGTGTTTTTTACAATGCTCTGTAAATCCACTATTTATGGTGAAATGCATACATGTAATATTAATTTGTGTAGTGAAGATACAATATCTATCTAATTGTCTTCTTTACGGATCGATGAACATTAAATCCCGAGTACCATGTTTATTACAGAATGATACCGGACTTTTTTGTTCCTCTTTTCTGACAAAGTATGTGCACACTTTCTGATTCGGATACATGTATGATGTTTAACCCGTGAAAACGATCGCATACAAGTACTTACATGTAGTTAATTATACGATATGTAAATTTTGTAGTTTATATTTTTGGTAATGAAATAACTTATTAATTTGATAAATGGATAAATTTAAAACAGGGAAAGGTAGTAAAAATAGACGTATTGCACGGTAGATTTAAGTGTGAAAAAATAAGCTCCTTGATTTTAACATACTGGTCAAGTTTCACACACTTATTACAAGTGTGATTATCAGCATGGACAAACGTATTCAAATAGTCAATATTTACATTGTCATTGATATTTAAGCTGTACATAATGCTCAAACTATAGGAAATATGAAAGATGAGACATTTAAAAGTTTAAATATATTGTATGAAGTTATTAAACTACTTTCCATAACTTGTTCATGCAAGGATTGAAATAATGTATTTCTCGTAGTTCAAAGTAATGGAAACTCATTATCAATTTTAAATGTGCTATTTATTACTCGAAGTTACTATTGGTCTGGGGACTTCGGTGGCCAAGTGATCTACGTAGTTCAACTACTGTTTCACTAGCCTGTCAATACTGATATTGTAAGTTTGAACCACGCACGTTGTTCGACTCCAATCTTAAATAACTAAAATGGCCACTTTTCCTCTCGAATGTCGATAGTTCTCTCCGGCTTCCTCCATCAACAAGAACTGACCGCCACGAAATAGCCAATAGTACTGAAAGTAGCGTTAAACATCAACCATCTTACCTATCAATCAATCACTATTGGTCACGTTAAATTTTCGGACTGGCATCTTTCTGCCACGTTATACATGTACTACCTTTTAAAAGGTTTCCGTGGGAGGGGAGTTCAACAGGTCAGATGATACAAGTAAGACGCCAAGCTTATTTTCAAATGACAAACAAATTGATACCCTTATTCTTACATTCATCAGCTTTCTCTCTCCTACCCTACTCACTCTAGTTCAGACACATGAGTAAAATATAAATCTCTAGACGTTGAGAAATTTATTTACCAGCCTTTCCAGTTCGTTTGAATTATACTACGTTGTACTTCGTACTAGACAGTGGAATATTATAGCGCGACTTTTAATTACTATTATAATAGAAGTTATATTTCTCTTAACTTTACATCTAAATTTGTCTGGTATGACTGTATCATCAACACGAGACTATTCTTCAAATCAGTCAAAACATAGATACATGTATGTACATGTATATATACTATTTAAAATCAAAAGAAGGAAGGTGTTAAAAGATTTTTTTAAGAGAAAACCGTTAATGTATTCATTTATTTCTTCCTTGTATTTCCATTGTGTTTCAGTTAAATATTTAGGCAGGAGGAAAAATTACGTAAGATTACATTTTAGAGATTTAACAACATTTTAGAAAAGTTTACAAGATTCTATTGCATGTGCGTATTGTAAATTTTATTTTATATAATTTTGTTATTCATTTGACAAGGACTCACTACTGTCACTTTGAAAAAGGGAGTTAAGTTTGGTGACTTGTGTCGGGTTTCATATGTATGGGCTTATATTCTTTGTCAGTGTTTTCTGTCTCAGGAGCCGCCAGGCGAAGGGGATATAGGGGACTGACAGGGAATGTAAGCCCATAGCCTATGTGAAGCCTGAATAAAAATTATATTATACTGGAGGTTTCTTATTTCTACATATTTTACAATTCTGATCTTTGGTTTTGTTCATAGGGTATATTTGCTTATAATCCCTAACAGGGTACCCACTCAAATTACAGGATAAGTCCGGATATTTCGCTCCAGTATAATATAATTTTATATTAACTTTATTTTCAATCATGTGTTTCTCATATATAATATATCATTCGCCGAGAATATATTTAAATGATTTTCATTCTGAGAATGGAGAAAGGAGAACTAACTCACTTTCAAAAGTTACCATTCGGATGTTAAAAAAGGGGGATACCAATTGTTCCTGATTGTACAATTTGATTCTATGCAAAAGCCAGAATCACATATCTATATGCACTTAGAAATTGAACAGAAAACCGAATAAATGTATTTAAAATTGTGTCACATTTTAAAGAATTCCATTAACTTGCTCTGTTATTCAAATAGCCGTTTGTCACTTGGTTCCCCGTATCAAGTTTATAAACGAGTAAACAAGCATACTGAACTCACGATAGATTCGATAAACGTTATATATAATTCTTTATAAAGCACAAATTACACCCATAAGATTTATAGTCAGTTTAATGAGAGGCGAATCGATGCATATTTATCTTATTGTTTTACGGAAGGGACTGATGATTATAAAATGCAGCAGTTCTAGTTATACTGTATAACCTGTTAACAATACTTACTGCTTGTATTATTATATATAAAAGCTTGAATACATTTGTTGAAATGTTCAATTGCGCATACAGACTTCAATATTCAAGAAATAACAGTACAGACTGTAGTCGAAGAGTTTCCATCGTCAATTGGTCGCAAATGCAGTTAAACTGGCGTCGCGTAGCTTCAACTTCAGTACTGGTCCGGGTACACAAAAAACTCACGATAGATTCGATAAACGTTATATATAATTCTTTATAAAGCACAAATTACACCCATAAGATTTATAGTCAGTTTAATGAGAGGCGAATCGATGCATATTTATCTTATTGTTTTACGGAAGGGACTGATGATTATAAAATGCAGCAGTTCTAGTTATACTGTATAACCTGTTAACAATACTTACTGCTTGTATTATTATATATAAAAGCTTGAATACATTTGTTGAAATGTTCAATTGCGCATACAGACTTCAATATTCAAGAAATAACAGTACAGACTGTAGTCGAAGAGTTTCCATCGTCAATTGGTCGCAAATGCAGTTAAACTGGCGTCGCGTAGCTTCAACTTCAGTACTGGTCCGGGTACACAAAAAACTCACGATAGATTCGATAAACGTTATATATAATTCTTTATAAAGCACAAATTACACCCATAAGATTTATAGTCAGTTTAATGAGAGGCGAATCGATGCATATTTATCTTATTGTTTTACGGAAGGGACTGATGATTATAAAATGCAGCAGTTCTAGTTATACTGTATAACCTGTTAACAATACTTACTGCTTGTATTATTATATATAAAAGCTTGAATACATTTGTTGAAATGTTCAATTGCGCATACAGACTTCAATATTCAAGAAATAACAGTACAGACTGTAGTCGAAGAGTTTCCATCGTCAATTGGTCGCAAATGCAGTTAAACTGGCGTCGCGTAGCTTCAACTTCAGTACTGGTCCGGGTACACAAAAAACTCACGATAGATTCGATAAACGTTATATATAATTCTTTATAAAGCACAAATTACACCCATAAGATTTATAGTCAGTTTAATGAGAGGCGAATCGATGCATATTTATCTTATTGTTTTACGGAAGGGACTGATGATTATAAAATGCAGCAGTTCTAGTTATACTGTATAACCTGTTAACAATACTTACTGCTTGTATTATTATATATAAAAGCTTGAATACATTTGTTGAAATGTTCAATTGCGCATACAGACTTCAATATTCAAGAAATAACAGTACAGACTGTAGTCGAAGAGTTTCCATCGTCAATTGGTCGCAAATGCAGTTAAACTGGCGTCGCGTAGCTTCAACTTCAGTACTGGTCCGGGTACACAAAAAACTCACGATAGATTCGATAAACGTTATATATAATTCTTTATAAAGCACAAATTACACCCATAAGATTTATAGTCAGTTTAATGAGAGGCGAATCGATGCATATTTATCTTATTGTTTTACGGAAGGGACTGATGATTATAAAATGCAGCAGTTCTAGTTATACTGTATAACCTGTTAACAATACTTACTGCTTGTATTATTATATATAAAAGCTTGAATACATTTGTTGAAATGTTCAATTGCGCATACAGACTTCAATATTCAAGAAATAACAGTACAGACTGTAGTCGAAGAGTTTCCATCGTCAATTGGTCGCAAATGCAGTTAAACTGGCGTCGCGTAGCTTCAACTTCAGTACTGGTCCGGGTACACAAAAAACTCACGATAGATTCGATAAACGTTATATATAATTCTTTATAAAGCACAAATTACACCCATAAGATTTATAGTCAGTTTAATGAGAGGCGAATCGATGCATATTTATCTTATTGTTTTACGGAAGGGACTGATGATTATAAAATGCAGCAGTTCTAGTTATACTGTATAACCTGTTAACAATACTTACTGCTTGTATTATTATATATAAAAGCTTGAATACATTTGTTGAAATGTTCAATTGCGCATACAGACTTCAATATTCAAGAAATAACAGTACAGACTGTAGTCGAAGAGTTTCCATCGTCAATTGGTCGCAAATGCAGTTAAACTGGCGTCGCGTAGCTTCAACTTCAGTACTGGTCCGGGTACACAAAAAACTCACGATAGATTCGATAAACGTTATATATAATTCTTTATAAAGCACAAATTACACCCATAAGATTTATAGTCAGTTTAATGAGAGGCGAATCGATGCATATTTATCTTATTGTTTTACGGAAGGGACTGATGATTATAAAATGCAGCAGTTCTAGTTATACTGTATAACCTGTTAACAATACTTACTGCTTGTATTATTATATATAAAAGCTTGAATACATTTGTTGAAATGTTCAATTGCGCATACAGACTTCAATATTCAAGAAATAAC